GTGTGGACTTCAACTCCCAGAATTCCTCAACCAGCATGCTCAGTCAGAGAATGGTTACCTAGGACTACCTTTAACAAATGTTTGTAAGGAGAAGGGATTTCCGGTAGCACAAAAGCTGAAGCTCTTGACAACTGAAGCCATTCTCTCCCAGGCAATTGACTTGTTGAACTCAGGGACTGGCAGAATGAGTTTAAACATGGCAAAATATCTGCAGCCATTGCAAAGAAGGCACAACTAGATTGTCTGATTGTGGAGAAGCTGGACAAGCAGGGGTGGGATCTGACAAGGTTAACTACCAGTTCGTTGCGCGTGTGTGTAAATCTTCGTCAGCTTGCTGTCTGGACAGCTGAGTAGCGCTGTGTGCAGGGAAGCAGCGTTTGAAAAAGCACTTTTTTCCTGCTTTTTCAACTGCAGCTGTGCCTCGCATGGCAGCTGAGGTTGAAAAAGCAGGAAATAAAAGGTCAGGTAAGAGTCCGGGCAGGCAGGTGGGCCAAAACAGCAGTAGACATAGAACTGGTTCTATGTCTGCTGCTTTTCAGAGCTACCGGTTCTACAGAGCTGGACAGAACCAGTAGAATCCCACCCCTGTGGACAAGGGTATGTTTTACTCACTCACATCCCTTTTGGCCTCTTTTTCATCACCCCATGTAGTCACAGGTATATTTGCGTGAAAATCAGAATGCAGATGACGCTAAAGAAAATCTATTCTTCTTTAGGATGTCACCTAGATCTCAGAATTGGCCATTAATTCCTCCTGAATCTAGTTGCAACTATCCAGGAGAAGATAATTTAATTTAATCTAATCCTAATTAAATCTGGAATTGTTTAGAACAAAATGTGAAATATCTGGATCACCTTAAGCTACCTTTCCTATTCACATAGTAAGCAACTATAACCAGCCAAAGGGATTGATCAAATATGTCAGGGGTGTAAAACATAAGGCCCGTGAGCCAGATCTGGCCCATGATGTGGTCAGATCCGGCCCATGGGGCCATCTCGGAAAATGTAAGGGGCCAGCCCACATCAGATGTAACAGATAATCAGAGTTGGAAGGGACCTTGTAGGTCATCTAGTCCAACCCCCCTGCCCAAGCAGGAGACCCTACACCATTTCCGACAGGTGTGAGTCCAATCTCTTCTTGAAAGTCTCAAGTGATCACTTTGGCCTGGTCTACCCAGTGCGAAGAGAAAACATGCCAGCAGTTTGGGGAGTGGTGTCAAATTGGCCATGCACACCCAGTTGGCCATGCCCAATGAGTGGCATCAAGCTGACCACGCCCACCCAGTTGGCCACACCCACCCAGTCAGCCACACCCACCCAGCCCCCAGGTCAACCACAGCCCTGATGCGGCCCTCAATGTCATTAACTTTGACATCCCCGAAATTCTCCCCCTCCCCCAATATTTATGTCAATATATACTAGCTCTTGAGACAGACAAGTAGTCCTTGATGGTACTGAAAAATTGACTTATGACCAGTCCTCACACATACAACATCCAGCATGTTTATAGTCATGTGACCAAAATTCAGGAGTTGGCAACTGGCATATATTTACAATGGTTGAATTATCCTGAGGTCATGTAATTGCCATTTGTGACTTTTCCAGCTGAAATACCAAGTCAAAGCTGGATGAATTTAAAAACTGCTATGATTTGCTTAACCGTGGCAAAAATGGTCATAAAATAAAGTGTGAGTCACTTAACACCTGCCTCACTTAGCAACCGAAATGCTGGCCCTAATTATAGTTTTAAATCAAAGACTATCTGTACATGGAATGGGGTGACTCACAACAGCCAGGTGGGCATGACTGGGTGGGCGCGGCCATCTGAGTGCCATCTTGTGGGTGTGGCTGAGTGGGTGTGGCCAGGTGAATGCAGAGAATTAGGTGCAGCCAGGTCAGTGCAGATGACTCTGGGTAACTGGGTGGGTGTGGCCAGGTGAATGCAACCAGGTGGGTGTGGCCAAGTGGGCATGGCCAGGTGGGTGCAGAACAAGTCACCCCAGGCAACTGGACATGGACCCAGTTCAGCCCACCACCAGAAAATAATCCCCGGAGAGGTGCTGGCAAACGGGAAACAGGGAAGTGGCAAAATTAGAAAAGCAAGGGGTGGGTTTATTTCTCCCCCCGCCTTGCAGAAACACTCCGTTTTTCTTTCTCCTTTATGGGGAAAAGTTTTCCTACCAACTTTAAAAGGGAAAGGAAGGGAGCAACAAGGTGGATTCAGCTGCTTAATTTGATGAACTATGCAAAGAAGGAACCAACTGTCTGGTTAATTCTTTAAACAAAACTGTTCTCCCTACCATTCTGGCTAGTTTTTTGTTTTTTTCCCAAGTTTGTATGTGACATATATTTCAAAGCAGTACTATTGATTTTACTTTTAGGTATAAAGCGGAGTCAATTTCATGTGTCTTTGCCTAGTTAGTATAGTCAAATTGACAAAGGCATATGAAATTGACTAGACTAGGGTGAGGATATAAAACTGATACCATAGCAGAACAAGCTGGAAGGACTCTGGAAATGATAGATAGGAGCAGTCCTCATCACATTGCCTCTAGAAGATTCTGGTGAGCTGGAAGAATTTTTTTTTCTTTTCCTTTTTAAAATAAAACTATTAAATTTAAAGGAGCAAAGAACAATTCAAAAGAGAAAAACAGATAGAAAAGGCCAAGCTGGAGCTCGCAATTACAGAACTATTAGTCATAAAAAACACACAACCTTTTTTAGCACCTCCCACTTCTTCCACAATTACTCAGTGTGGATCTCATGCACATATTCTACACAATGCAAACACTGCCTTGTTGTGTTTATTATGTGCCTTCTAAGTTGCAATTGTATTATGGAAAAATGTCAGTGCTCCGCCTCACACGTTAAAGAGCTCTTACATAGTGGTAGGTCCTAACTTGCTATGGTTATTAAAAACAAATTAAAATGGAAATAATACTAAGCTGTTGTCACAGTCAAACTCACGAAAGAGTCCAGCTGCATCTTAAATAAACAGGAAGACAAAACAAAGTTCCTGAAAACTAACACTAGTTAAAATAAATAAATAACTGCATTCCAGATGTTGAGAACATAAAACTAGCAGGATGGGAGCAAATTACAGCCAACGGCCAAAGAAAATACCATCTTTCTCTCCTATACCAAAAAAATGTGCAACAGCTCGTTCCTAAAGCGTCCTTCCTATTTATAATGAGGGTTATGGCACTTGCAAATAAAACTTGCAAATACACTCTCTGCTATAGCAAAATATGAACTCAAGCACATCCCTGAATCATTAACAGTAGAAGTTTCTAATCCCAGGTAAAAAAAAAAAGTGTTGTGCTGCAGCATACATTTCCACAAAAGAAAACACAATTTACGCAGAAGAGTCTGCAGGATTGGAGGCTGTCATCTTAAATGAGGAGAACAAAGTTGCACCTTCAACAGTGCAAGCTCGTCTCCTTTTGCACATGTGTGCAAAGTCACATGGTACACACAACAGAGTTCATCATGATAGCATGACACTGTTTTTGTCTTTTTTTCACCCTGCGTATCCCTCTTGCCTCAGATGCCTTTGAATCTATGAATGCCTCTTCTTAGGATTTTATCCCATTCAATTTCATGGAACTTTATCCTCTTCTCCATAGCCAGCAATTTACCCTTCCAAATGTAAGCAGCATTTCCATGCCAGTGTTCATCTTAAAACTTATCTTATGCCAGCGTGATGGATTCAGCAAGGATTTTACCTTCTATCTTGTAAGCTGCCTGGCACTTCTTCCAACCGATTGTCATTGCCCTCCCTATGTCCCCATGATACTTTGAACTCTCTTTGAGGCTTTGAAAAGTGATCCAATCCAATGAAAGAGATTGAAAAAGGGCAGCAAGCTGGCACTCTTCTACCTTTCTTGTTTGAACCTTGTGGCGCAGAGATTAGAGTGCAGCACTGCAGGCTACTTCTGCTGACTGTCAGCTACCTGCAATTTGGTAGTTTGAATCTCACCAGGCTCAAGGTGGATTCAGCCTTTCATCCTTCCAAAGTTTGGTAAAATGAGGATCCAAATTGTTGGGGGCAATATGCTGACTCTGTAAACTACTTAAAGAGAGCTGTAAAGCATTATGAAGCAGCCTATAAGTCTAAGTGCTATTGCTATTGTTTCTTTTTCACATTTTTGTGAGAAGAATTAACCAAAAAAAAAAAACCCAATCCTGACCAGCCATTGCATGGTGCAAGTATAGAAGATAAACGAATGGCGGCAAGGCAAGAAGAGGGAAATTCTAGCATCTAGGAAGTAAAAAAAGGAGAAATATTTTCTCTGGAGAAGGAAATGAGCCAGCAATTAATTAGATCACTTTTCAAAGCCGCACAGAGAATTCACAGAGTCCATGGGGACACAGGGAGGGCCAATGACAATCTCAGTCCCTAACTTACTGTATATGTGAACATGGCCTCAGTATGTGTATAGAACAGGATTTCTCAACCATGGCAGCTTGAAGATGGATGGACTTCAACTCCCAAATGCTGGCTGGGGAATTCTAGGGAATGCTGGAAGTCAAAATCTGTACATTTTCAAGCTGCTGAGAAACACAGGTATAAACAACAGGAAACTTCTGAGAAACCCCTACGGTCTGAGGCAGTTCAATATGCGACTTAGGGCAGAGTTCCCCAATCTTTCTGGGTTTGAAGACTGGCAGGGGAGAGGGGATGGTTCTGCATGAACAGTGGGCAAGTACGCACACACAGCTCCATTTGCTCATTCAAGTGGGGATGCACACAATGAGCTCCCCACTTCCGAAGCCCCGTTCTGAACCGCTCAAAGACCAGTAGAGGGACATGGCCTGGGGGTTGGGGACTCCTGATTTAGGATGCCTTGGATTCCAAATCCTTGAATAAGAAGATAACTTGAATGTTGTCTTTCTAAAAGTGTATTGAAGTTGTTTCTAAACCGCATCAACTTCACTGGATGGCCTTCAACGTTTAACATTCTTTTATCCAAGATGAGCGTGCACATTCTCACACTTACCATTGTATATGCCAATCCGGCCATCTCCTCCACACAGTTCACTGGACTTGCCAAAACAGACTTGATCACATTCCACAGCACTCACTTGCTGGCTGTGGCGGATATCCCCTTCATGCCCACAGAAACAGGCATAACCAGCTTCCACGCCAGCAAACTTTTTCCAAAACGGGAGAGGAAAATAAGAGACGATTTAAGATGGCACCATCTTTTTAACTGCATGGCTAAAATGTTGAAATGTGAAATTTTACAAGGAAGCAAAGATAGGACAAGCAGTTGTCTTGAAGGAAATTCAAGACTTCCTGTGACATATTGTGCCTGATTTAATCATAGTTTATTGAATAAGACAAATTGGGTTCTCTCAACATGCTAGGCCATAAATCATGGTTTACAGACCTTAAGGACTGTATTTGCATGATAAACTGTAGAACCAGTTGTCCATTTTAGGGCCAGAAGAAATGGTTTACTTTCTATGGAGCAATTATGTGGAGTAATACCAGCAGATTTATGTTTCCATAAAATAAAAGGGGGTGGTGACTATGGAAGATTATAGGAAAAGAGCCAAAATTATTTGCGATAACCCCAAATTCTTGCTATTTTCAAATGAGAAAGCTTAAACAGCGGCCATAATCAAGCCACCAGATTGAATAATGCTTTCCCAGGTATTAAAAAAAATAGACCAATCTTCAAATTCAGTATCTCCAGAACAGAAGCATAACCATGAGGGCAGCCGTCTCAACCAAGTGTGACAAATGGATAACAACTGTGCATTTGTTGCGCTAATAAAAACTGATAGCCTGGAACGACAAAACAAATGCTGTTTGATGGCTGAGCTCTGTTTCACGGGGTGCCAAGAATTGGGCTGATGGGATGAAAATAGAGAAGGGAAATAATATGTGTCTACTCTACTCCCATCAGTTGTCTGAGAAGATTAGAAAGACCAATCCAAAAAAGGGGAAAAAATAGATCAGTGAGGACACATGCCAAGAGCAAGTGAAGAAAATCAGGATTCAGGCCTTCCATATAAGCTAACTCTGCCTTATTCTGAGGTTCAATCAATCGGAATAGATATGGAAAGGACCTTGGAAGTCTTTTAGTCCAACCCCCTTCACAAGCAGGAGATCTGTACCATTTCAGACAAGGGACTGTCCAGTCTCTTCTTAAAAACATCCAGTGATGAAGCACCCACAACTTCTGACAGCAAACTGTTTCACTGGTTAATTATTCTCTCTTTTAGGAAGTTTCTCCTTAATTCTAGATTGCTTCTTCCCTTGATTAGTTTCCATCCATTGCTTCTTGTCTTGCCTTCTGGTGCTTTGGAAAATAAGTTGACCCCCTCCTCTTTGTGGCAGCCTCTCAAATACTGGAATACTGCTATCATGTCCCCCGCTAGCCCTTCTTTTATCTAGACTAGCCAAACCCAAATCCTGCAACCATTCTTCATATGTTTTAGTCTTCAGGCCTTTAATTATCCTATTTGCCCTTCTTTGCACTTTTTCCAAAGTCTCAATATCTTTTATTTAATGTGGTGACCAACACTGGATGCAGCATTCCAGGTGTGGCCTTTCTAAGGCTTTATAAAACAGTACTAACACTTCACATGATTTTGATTCTATGCCTTTGTTTATATAACCAAGGGTTCTATTAGCATTTTTGGTTGACTACCACACACTGCTGGCTCATGTTTAAGTGATCGTCCACTAGGACTCCAAGGTCCTTCTCACAATTACTGTGTTTGAGCCAGGTTTCACCTAATCCAGGGGTCCCCAACCGCCGGTCCGCGGACCGGTACCGGTCCACGGAACAAGTCTTACCGGGCCGCTGGTTGCTGGGCGCCGCCATCTTTTTTTGATAAAAAAGTGCTTCCGGTGTGCTTTTCCGGGTAGAAAGCTCACCGGAAGCACTTTTTCGTCAAAAAAAGATGGCGGCGCCCAGTTGATGCCGGTACCGGGCCGCGGCGCCCAGCTGATGCCGGTACCGGGCCGCGGCATAAAAAAGGTTGGGGATCACTGACCTAATCTGTACCTGTACCTTTGGTTTTGCCTGCCTTAAGTGTAAAACCTTGCTTTTTTCCACATCAAATTTCATGTTGTTGGATGGGGCCCATTGTTTAAGTCTGTCAAGATATTTTTGGATCCTGAATTTGTCTTCTGGGGGGTTAGATGTTGGTCATCATTTGATTTGCTTTTTAGATGAATTTGAATTTCAAATGAAGGGTGGAGAGCTAGTTGCCTACAAAGTGCTGATGGTGCTGTGATCAGCAAACAAATCAACTGGGAAAGCTTTTTATGGTATAGAGATATGCACTGTTGCCCATCAAATCAAGCAGCAGCTGCTCAAGGCCCAGTAGTTAAGACAGTTCAGAAAAGCTGGCAAATAAACTATCTATATATCAATATTAAATAGATAGCTCTTTATTGAAAACCATGGATCAGTGGCCAGCAGCACCTCTATTGCTGCTTTGATGGTATTTGTTGAAATATAAGAGGTGAGCCATCTTGGCTACCCATTAATAGAAAAAAAGAATGATCATACTGTTCTTAATGGGAATAGTAGTTTAATGGGGCGATAAGAGTACAAATGAAAAAGAGGTTGAAATTACAAATGGAGCTTTCTATCAAATATTTTTTATTCAGGGAACTAGAACTTTTTGGTTCCCAGGCACAGAAATAGTGAATCACTTGGACAATCACATAAATATGAATGTGCTGCAGCTGACAAAAAAGCCAACACAATTCTAAGCTGCATTAACAGAGAGATAGAATCAAAATCACGTGAAGTGTTAATATCACCTTATAATGCCTTGGTAAGGCCACACGTGGAGTACTGCATCCAGTTTTGGTCGCCACAATGTAAAAAAGATGTTGAGACTCTAGAAAGAGTGCAGAGAAGAGCAACAAAGATGATTAGGGAACTGAAGGCTAAAACATATTTAAAAAAATGATTGCTGGAGTTGGGTATGTTTAGTCTAATGAAAAGAAGGACTAGGAGAGACATGATAGCTGTCTTCCAATATCTCAGGGGCTGCGACTACGAAGAGGGAGTCAAGCCATTCTCCAAAGCACCTGAGGGCAGGAAAAGAAGCAATGGAGTGGAAACTAATCAAGGAGAGAAGCAAGGAGAAATTTCCTGACAGAACAATTAATCAAACAAGTGGAAGGACTTGCCTCCAGAAATTGTGAATGTTCCAACACTGGAAATTTTAAGAAGAGATTGGACAATCATTTGTCTGAAATGGTATAAGGGAGCAGAGGCCTCGACACGAAGACCTCCAAGATCGCTTCCAACTCTGTTACTCTGTAGTCACTAAACTCTGTTGTGTTCAAAAAAATTTAATTCACCAATAATTATAAATCAATACATAAGTTCATCGGGTTTTTTAATTAAAATCTCTTAATAATCTCCAGTCCCACACAGGCAAATTTTATTAGCTGTGTCAGAGCACTGCTTTGTATCTCTTTGAACCGGGCTACATCCTTATATATACCAATGTTAAAGGTCATTAAATTAGTCTTCTCAAGCTTTGCAAACCAAGTCAGATTAGAGAAGACGAATCTAAAAGCACACAGTATTTGAAACAATGTCAGGATTCTATGTTTATATTAAAAACAAGCCCAGAGCTGCATCACACAACTCCAGTGTGGCAGGTTAGAAAGAATGAAATCCTTCTCACTGGTGCTTTTTTGACTAGGCTGGAGAGGAGAATGTGGGAACTGAGTGGCATCATTCCCTGACTTTTGTTTATTATTTTATATTAATCTATAAGCTCTCTTTTTCTCAACCAATCTCATCTAATTGTATCCGGACCGTTCAAGAACTCAGTTCATGAAGTCAAGCCCAGAATTTGTAAGTCAAGCCCAGAATTTGTAACCAGCTTGTTATCTGGGAATTCTGGGAGATGTAGTATTAACACACATAGACAGCCCCCCTTTTGAAGCAACCTCTTCAATGGACTGAGAAAGGCCTCCCGAGTTTCACATAACAAAGAGACGGTTATACCTTATAGCCTCGTTTGCGGCAGAAACTGAGGCAAACTTGTACTGTGAGTTTGGTGGATGTGCCACTGCTCCCACTTAATGTTGGGGGAGTGCCCGAGTCCAGGAAGCAGCCAACATAGCCGGGCACTGAAAGAAACAATGAAGAATGTGGGTAGACATTTTGAATGTTTATGCGCGAAGGTATCACAACACTACACAACTTTAGGACTTTACAAATAGCCTTCATTTACCAACCACAGTTGGGACTTGCAACTCTGTGGTTAAGTACTACAGTCATTAAGCAAAAATAAGTCACGCGATTGCACTGGACCTATGATGTTATCTTCTGCTTCTGTCATTACACAAATCACCATGGTCGTTAAGTGAAACATCACATGACTGGGATTTCCCTTTCACATTCTCCATTAATTTTGCTTGTTTGAAGCTCACAAATGGCAATCACTTAACCATGGGAAACTGTGTGGCTGTAAATGCAAAGATTGGTTGCACAGCTGTTTTTCTTTTTCAACTGTTATAAATTCAAATAATCACTAAACAAGGCAGTCAATAAGTGATGGCTATCTGTGATGCAAACTGGCCACATGATTCACAGCAGCCAGTTGTGGGGAATTCTGGGAGCTGTATTCTACCCATTTTGACATTGCCAAGGTTGAGAAACACTGCCTTATTGTTTTAAGTGAAAGGCACAGGCAGCTGTCTCAAAATAGATGCTTGTCAGATTCAACAGGTTTAATGCCAACCTTTGCCTTACGCTTTCTTTGAAATGTTTTGCCCCTGTATTATTTATGTTTTCTTGTATTTTTTTCAGAATGCTTCAAAATTTATTCAAATTTCTCTTCTTGATGTATTGGGTTTACAGTACATTCCTGTTGAAACTTACAAGGGTGCTACCGCTGTATTTTGTTCCTTTCATTTCAAAGATGCCCTGGCTGATCAAACTTCAAAATCTGAAAAGGGCCAATAGAAGGGACCTGTCTACCCTTTGGATGACTGCCTTTGAGTGAAGCAAAGACCAAGAGTGGATTTTCATCCATATTTCTTGGCTGTCCCATAATAAAGACAAAATCATAACACGCCATCTCTGAAAATTTGTTAAAATGTTCTTCTCCTTTGAAATAAATTTCAAAGCAAACAATCTTTTTTCTGAGCTGGTGATCTATCAGAATGTCAATTTGAAGAGGAACAGTAGGATGACACCAATTTAGGAAAAGCTGGGTTACAGACTCCAAGCGGAACCAGCAAACAATTGAGAATAGGATGTTCAACTTTCAGAGAAGGTCCACTAGTTATTAACTTTCCTATAGCATAGGCCAAACTTTTTCATCCAATTCTGGCTGATCCCTCCACCTCGATGCAAAATCCAGCACTTACTGTGGCAGGTTGGGATATCACAGTACTTCCAGTAGATCCCTTCTTCGTTCTCTGAGATGTAGCACCAGGGTTGTACATCACCGTCTGGATTTCGGCAGTAATTGTGACTGCCCAGCCCCCACTCGCCATTGGGATATTTGGCCGTGTTATAGGCATGTTCTCGTGTCTGGTTCCAGTAGAGACAAGGCTTCCCAGCGGATCCAGGAGCAGTTCTGTTCTGCAGTCCCCGATAATCAGCTCCATTCACCATAAAACATTCAGATAATTCTGGGGAATAATTAGAGGGAAAAAGAGATGGTAAGAGACAGGTTTCCTCTCCATGTTTATTCCTGCATATTTCATTTCCTAAATGAATACTGGTGGTTGTTATCGTGCATTTCCTCCACATTCACTAAAGAACGAAGTCATACAAAGTAATGATTATTTTGAGATAAATCATCAACTCTTGAAGATTGCATGGATGTACTTCAACTTATCAGACCCAGCTCTTAGCAAAGTCAGCCTTATCTTCACAACAGAGCCATATTTGATTGCTGCTTTATGACGAAATCTAAGTGTTTTATCACTTCCAACCCAAGACATATCTCTGATCAACAATTCCCCTTGCCGTTTTCTCCCTTGATCATCACAACAATTCTCTCTGTATCACATGCAAGTGATAAATTGGATCGCAATGCACAAAAAGTAAAGATAAATTAGCCTTTGAAGTGTCATAAGAGTCTGTTTTGATTTTGCTACAGAAGAGTAACACAGCTATCCCTCGGGAAGCTGTTATACACAAACAAATTTGTCCTCACAACAACCCAGAGAGCTTGGTTAAACTGAGATATAGTAACCAGCTCCAGGTCATCCAAGGAACTTATGGTAGCCTGCCCGGAAAACAATCCACAGTTCCTCATCAATGAAGAACTTGTGGCTCTCCTGGTATTACTGAAACTCTCATTCCCAGCCATTGGCCATATCTGCTGGGACTGCTGGGAGTTATAGTTCAGCAACATCAAGAAGGCTACCAGTTCCTGGTGAGAGACATATATACACCCACAAATAAATGTACAGATACAAATTATATAATCAAGAAATAAAGAGCTTTTCAATTTTTAAAAACCTAAGGCTTCTGGTCTAGTGAATTTGTACTTGTTCAGAGATCAGTGCCTATCTATACTACAAGTTTCAGTCAGTCAAGTAAAATATAGCACATTCACTCACAAGTTACTAAATGTTTTAGTTTTAATCTCAGTCAGTATTTGTGAGTTGGTGTATGGGGTGAATTCAACTTCTTTGATTAATGCATGATTCAGTGTATTGTGTAAACCAGGAAAATCCATGTAGGTTAAGTTGTGTGAATGCAGCTGATGCTCCCAATTGGGTCAGGTCAACAAGACAGTGAACTTTGTAATTATAATCAGGAAATCCCACTGAATGTATTTTCAGAGAGAGAGGGAGGGAGGGAGAGAGAGAGAGAAAGAGAGAGAGAGAGAGAGAGAGAGAGAGCTGTGGCATTGATAAGACTGGCACAGTAGGATACTAATCCTTGTTTAGTCACTGTCTCATTTAGTGACCGTTCACAGTTAACAATGTTGATGAAAAAGTAACTTAATGACCATTCCTCATATTTAGGTCTGTAAAGCAAAGCTCATGTAAGTCATTTAGTTACAATTAATGACCGAATTGTCTATCCCATATGTGACTGTTAAACTAGGACTATCAGTGGTACTTGATTCAAATATTCAATCAGGCATAAATTATGCAGGATAGCTGTGACATCCTATATAATTACGACTTGTAGAACTTCATTTCTAGATGAGGAAGAGATCCCAAATTTTCAAACAATCTTAAAGCTAAATCTCTCAGTCCTACAGGAATCCTGAAGGGCTGAATTCAGGCCTTGATTTCTTATTGGTGAAGGAAAGTCCCTCTGTTCCTTCACAGAAAGAGCTTCTGTCAAAACAAGTTATAATTTGGGGGCAGAAAATTGGAAAAGATAATCCTGCTTCTCTTTTACCCATAATTGGGGAATTCGCTTTGGTCAAAAAGTTGGAGGGAAGTACATGTTTGAAGACCTGCAGCTGGAGAAGAGGTTTTGAGGTCTTCTGGGAAATTCACAGGAGACCTCCAGCTGCCCCTTCTTTCCTTCCCCTCCCAATCCTGAAATGTGGAGCTGGAGAAACATCAGAGCAAGCGTGACAAGACAAGCTTGGAAGAAGAGGGGCTCCTCTCAAGGCTGCCTCCAGGGTGGGGGCCAAACCAAGATTAGAGATGCTAAATGTGTAATCAGTTAAAGCATGCAAAGGCTTTGAAGATTCAAAGGGAAATGGTGGAGGGTGTCCTGTGAGATTTGGCTGGAGGCAAGAGAAACACAGGAGACCCTTTTAGATCTCACATTTGGGGAAGAGGAAGGATTGGAGGAGGATCAAAGCGTTCAAAGACACATTTAATCACCCATGCCAAGACAGTCAAGTGCAGGCAGAACACAAAGAAAGAATATGGGGGGACAGTGAGATGGGCAGAGCCTCTGCTAAATCTCTGACCTCTACCAAGGTCAAAAATGAGTCCTTGTAAACCAAGGATGAGCAATATTTGGGGTGGGGAGTCACATTTGGTTCTTTGAGTAGAGTTACAGGTAGGGATAAATTCCCCAAAGGTGGGAGAGATGACATAATGAACTTGGCAAAGCCAAGATGGAATTAAATTCAGTTGGATTAAAATGGAATTGATTTATTTACATGAAGATGATAGGATTATTCCCATATATTTAATTTTCCTGTTTATGCTTATTTATGCTTATTTATTGACTGGATTTACGACCATCATAAGAACCAGAAAATTTGTTAAACAGTGCAATCATTAAGTGAGACATCACATGTTTAAATCACTTGATTTTAACTTTTTGGCTATGGTCATAAAGCCAGACATCACTTGTCTGCAACTTGTGACTTTTGCTGAGGGCTTCTCCATTGACTTTGCTTGTCCAAAACTGGCTTGGAAGGTTAGAAATGGTGATTACATGAATGAAGGATACTGCATCCACCATAAATTTGCAAGTTGCCAAGTATCCAAATCACAATCATATAACCACGGGAATGCTACAACAATTATAAGCATGAGGACTTTTTTAAGGACTACATATATTAATTAATTCATTAAGAATTAAAAATTGTAGAAGGGCTCCAAGTATTTCAACCAAGGCTTTTAGGGTTGATGGGGTGATCATAGGGTCCAGGGATGGGATTCTACCGGTTCTGTCCACCTCTGTAGAACCAGTAGTTCTGAAGAGCAGCTGACAGAGAACATACATAGAACCGGTTTTATGTCTGCTGCTATTTTGAACCTGCCTGCCCGGGCTCTTACATGACCTTTATTTCCTGTTTTTTCAACCACAGCTGCTTTGCACGACACAACTGTGGTTGAAAAAGCAGGGGAAAGGGGCTTTTCCAACCGCTGCGCACTTGCACGCAGCACTGCTCAGCTGTCCAGGCAGCTCAGCAGGTCATAAATTGCACATGCAACACAGAGCAACAGAACCAGTAGTTATACCGGTCAGATCCCATCCCTGATAGGGCCCCTTACTAAGTATCTTGTCCCACTGTGGAGTGCCATCCATTTGCATCTGCAATAACAAGATTTAATTGTCCCAGAAATCCCATTTTTACAATGTTTTCTCCACAGATCATAAGCACTAATCCCAGGGAAAAGTCTTATCTCTCTAGGCCCCGTGGTTCTCAACCCTGGCCCTTTTAAAATGTGTGGACTTCAATTTTCAGAATGCAAACTGGAGAGTTCTGGGAGTTGAAGTTCACACATCTTAAAAGGACCAAGGTTGAGAATTACTACTCTAGGCAACTGATTGAAGTGGGAGAAATATGAAAATGGTGGAAGGAATGCATCACATCAGGTTACAAGTTACTATGTCATTTCTAAATGTCCCTGCATATAAACAAAACATACAAAACCTATACTCCCTTTCACCCAAGTAAAAACTGACATATCAAGGAAAAAAGTTCTAGCCCAACCCAGCCCTGGCTTTGCTTGTATTCTCTTTCAAAGTCATACAAGCATGTTCCTCACTGCATTCCTATGTGTCTACATAGCAAGAACCTTCACAAGTTAGTTCTGTCATCCAGAGTCTGAAGTATATGCTTTGTACAAATATTGGAACCCTGCCACTGATTTCCATTACAGCTTTAGGCAAAGAAAATAGCATTCTGGATCTGAAGAGATGTCTGTGACAGAAGACTAAGCCCAGTGGCCCCCTGCCATTTTGAAGATTGTCCTGGCATCGAACTGCCCTGCAAGGGGTGCAAAGGAAGAATGCTGGCATAGAATAACACTTTGAGGAAGCAAAAGGATCACAGCCAGGCATTAGGGCAATTTGCACAAGCGTGTAGATCTGCTGGAAAAAAAAAATAGGAACAGAAACATTTGTGTGTGCAACTTGGCACTGCATGAAGTAGGTTGCAGAAGTGGCAGCAGGCCATTTTCCTTGCAGAATCCAATCTGTAGCTCTCCCTTCTTCTTTTTTTAATTCTGGAAAAATGGCACAGATTCAGCAAGTCTAAATAATGCCGAATGCCGGTGGTAGAACTCACAAGGGTAAACAAAAGGGGAAGGGAAGCTGCGTTCTGGGCTGGCAAGGAGATCAGACATCCAGAGGCTGCCCCTCGCCCCCGCCAAGAACTTGAGAGGGTTGGCCCCCAGCCTGCCTTGTTTTATCCCAGACATAGTAATGTCCTTCCACAGCTGGGAATAACCCATGACTTGTGCTTCCTCCACTTGCCTCCTGCCATCAATCCATCCAACCACCCACCTTCCAAGTTCAATCCTCTCCTGGTGTAACCAGATGCCTTTCAAACCTAGCAGACATGAGCCCCAGGGGGATGGGACCCACCTGTTGTTGGAGATGGAAATAGCTGAGAACATAATAAACAGGTGGTCGATATGAAGCAAGAGGACTAGGCTAGGAAGGGGAGGGTAGCAAAGAGAGCTCTTCATGGGAGGATATGGAAGCCTACAGAGGCCGGAGACTGGATGTCTAGCAGGTGGTGGGTGTTGGCAGCTGGTCCTTTAGAAGATGCTTAGGACCAGTGGAGTCCTATCTGGGGGGGGGGGGCATGAATGTGAGATGGCCCTGGGGAGGGGAGGGAGGGGGAGTAAAAATCAGGGGTGAGGCATTAGACAAATGGTACAGGAGGCCTTGGTGTTACCGCACTGTTCGAATTGCTGAAGAACTGTGACATGAATGTAATGGAACGCATACAGGCGGGCCAGGA